TGCTAAATCCCAGTTTGTGGGCCTCTCTATGAGTTGTTGCTTTTCGGTCGGCATTTGTGATATTACTTTTTTTCACATATCGTGGCTTAATATTAACTGAACCAGTTACGTTATATCTTCTAACAATATTTTTCACACTGTACCGCGATAAGTCCAACAAAGTTGCAATTTCTGAGTTTGATTTCCCAGAATTAAAAAATGTTATTATCAGTAACCGAATTTTCTCACTAGTAACCTTTCCTCTACCCACTTTGAAAACCTTAACTACCAAAACTATTTTAAATGTATTCTGACAGCTGTGATTAATAAAAACAATTGTCATGGCTTTTATTTTTCACAGCCACCTATGCGTTATAGACTTATTTTGCATTGAAATGAAAATAGGTTGATATGCTGTAATTGCAACATGTGTTATTTTTATGCTGCAAATTTGATTAGGGAGTGATAAAGTTGGTGTTTTCTACTATATATTATCAAAATATTCATTGTTAATATTTTAAACTTATAAAACCCTGCTACATTTTTATTATTTGTGTTTGATAAGAAAAAACTAAGATTTCAATAGTTGGGCCAACTGAAGTGGGAAGGGGCTCGTATGAGATCCTAAAATTATTCTAACGGAAAATTCAGAATTCTCGCTGTAACAGTTGAGGAGGGTGTGACAATTTGAAAATAAAACCTTGTAATATGTTATATCGAATGGCTTGCTTTGTAAAGGCCTATCCAAATTTGCAATAAAATCTATATTAAATTTAAATCCTGTAGAGATAACACTATTGTTCTAGTTGGCTACCATTTTGGTATTCAAGTTTTTTAAATAACTTGCATAAGATAGTAGTTGTCGACCGAGCCCACACTGAAAACTCACCCGGTATACTCGGTGTTATCTTTTTCTAAGAGCTAACTTGAGCCAAACATAATTTTTTATGAATTGATAAGAACATTGTGTGAGAAGTGCGAATGACTCCGGGGCTAGATTTCTGTTCGGTGGCAAATTGTGTTTAAACCAATTTGATATCATTCAAGTTCGTGTGAAACTTCCTGATTAAAGGACGTCCATTTTTTAAATTTTTTGATTTTCGTCTCTTGATCTATAAGAACTCATTGCCAGTCATGCTCACATGCAAAACAGGGGATCTGCTTGAACTTGTTCGTATTAATTATTATTAAAAAGACTCTACAACCGTGGCGAAGAATCGACCCTGAAGACAATTTACTCATTTTTGTGGACAAAATAAATTAAGGTGAGTTTTCAAGGTCGGCTTCTTTTGTATCTCAGACCTGACCTGCTTCTGCAAGAAACGGGTTCAGTAACCTAACCAAAATTATTACGTTAATTGGATTACTTGAAGAATGATTATATGAATTTGTAAAAATTTTACGAAAACAACAAACGGTATTAAGAAATTAAATGCTCTTGAGATCGCAGAGAGATCTCCTAGTGAATCTTTCCTCATTATTGACCTTTAAGAAACAAAAGAGCGATCGTACTAACCAGTAGTAGATATAAAGTGATTTTCAAACAGGTTTTTTTAAAATTGGTCAAGTTAGCCAGCTGAAATTCGGAGTGATGAAATATGTGCATATTTTAACGTAAAATAGCAGTTGGAAAAATGAAGATGGCGACTGGACGCCATTTGTGAACTTTTTTTTTTAATTTAAATGGAAGGCAAACACTTGATACCCCATTTTTGAATCTTAGAACTATTTTATAAGCCCAGACTGCTAAAGATCTATAAACCCAAACTGCCAAAATTCTACCTATATCCGCATATATGATGAAACAAACTATCTGGTAAAATTGTCAAAATCTTCAATTTTTTAAATAACATGTCAAAACTGATATAATATATTACAGTATTTTGATGATTACTTCTGGTGTTGTAAGCTATTTATTGTACAAGCAAACAGTCCACTTTAGCAGGTCGCCAGTTCTCCATTTTGAAAGATAGTGAATTTTTACTTCTAGGGCTATAAAATATTAACAAGGAGCTCCAAAATGAGATAACACCTAATCTCCTATTAATGTAACACCTCAAACTTATCTTATGTTTTTTTCTGCTAATACTATAGAAATCCATTATTGTCTGATGCTAAATGAAATCACATATGCTTGAATTACTTCTTACTACTGATTTACAAATAACAGTGATAATATATTTTATGTTTATCTTTCTTCCAGGTGACAGTTCATTTTTTCCCTTCTTCTCGACAAGCGAGCGCGATGTTTTGTACGAGCTGATTAGAACCTACAGCGCGATGTTTATCTGATATTTTCGAATGTACTAGACATGTCACCCAAGCTTATCGTCCCGAAAACGTCAAACGTCCTCCGTATGTTGCGTCGAAATGGAAACTAAAAGTGCACAAAATTAGTAGGTAAACTTTCTGATAAACAGTGCATTTTACTAAAAATCACATACATCCATTCTGGGGACCCAGGCTCCGAGGTTTAAAGTTAAGCACTAAAGGTGAAAACTGACCTTGGTCAGTATAAAGCGACGAGGTAAACAGATCGATAACAATACTTCTTTTCCTATGCATGGGAAAACCAATTTCCGACAAACTAAAATATAATACGCCTTTGCATTCGGCTAAATTGAAACACATTAAATGAAAATTTAAATACTAGTAAGGACGTGTGGCAGACCACTCTTAAAAGGAATTTATTTTCGTAGAAAAGTAATAATAATGACAATTTAATTGCCGCTTACAAGACTCGCTAATATGAGGTCAAGATCACTCCAGCTCTGCGCCAGCCAATGGTGGTGTTTTATACTTTTTTGAATGTAATAATTGGTATGCAAGTGAATCGATTGGGCTTGTAATTTATAAACGTACGGTGGTATCGGAAAGGCTATTTATATCCTGTTTATTGGCCTTAACTGCATATCCTTAAAACTTCCTTCACATTTTTTCTTGCTTTAGGCAACGAGGTAACGCAGTAACAATCAATTATGTTTGCCATTCTCCTTCATCATTATTATATTTTTAAACGAGGTTCTTTGATTCCTATACGATTTTGGCAGCCATTACGGTTCCTTATACCAGATCAACACGATAGATGTTTGTAAGATATGGCTCATTTCACGATAGAACAACCCGAAAATTTAATTTTTGGCTAGTGAAAAGCTAATGCCGACCTATCGCAAAATAGCCTTTATTTAAGCGTTAGGGCATGCTATCCCTTGGCCTTTCGTTGAAGATATAGTAGATTAACTATGGCCCGTAGCTTGGACATATAACTTTATGGGAGACTAAGGCATAGTGAATACCTCAAGCATTCTGGTGTTATGACAGTAGTGTTAGTGAAAATACTTGAACTGAGTCTCTTTTTTTAAAGAATAAACAATAATAATTATCTGTGAGTTGCAGCTGTTTATCACAGAGATAACAAAAAACAAAACGATGCAGGTTCTCCACCTTGCCCGTAACCCCAAGTAAAACTGATAAAGACATTGTACAAAGTGAATACATATCATAAATGGTTAGGAATTGAATTTTATTCTGAAACATAATGTAAAACAACCATCAGGGCCCTCAAATCCAGAACGCTGCATAAATTAAATGATTTATCGCTTCTTCTGACAGATACCTGCTTTGTTTTCTTTTCATTTCTACATATTATCTGCATCATATAAATAAGAATAAAAATGCCTAAAAGAATCTTTTCTTCTTTTTGAACTATCTATCCAATCGGTCGTATTTGTATGACTAGGAATTTATTTGCTTGTTCGTGGAAAATTACGGTTTGTTATCTTCAAACGAATAAACCCACAATTTCTCCAGCAGCATATATTTGGTTATGGTATCCGATATGGTGTTTCAAAATGGTATTACACATAAGCATGAGAGCTTTAAAAATTGTCGGTCAAACTAATGTAGGTCCAATAATAAATAAGTAAATAAATAATGATTTTAATAATTGCTCCAAATGAACATACTAATTTTTCAGTTCTTGCTCAATTCGAGCTTTTTAGTTGGAAATGGGGCAGCATTTGGTTTTTAACTCATTTTGGTTAGCTGAAAATACGGCCAAGTTTTTCTAGCAACCTGCTTCAAAAAATACTAATATAGTTGGCTACTGCACCATCTATGGGACATTAACATCTTTAAAGTAGATTTCTAATGTGCGGAAAGGGAAAACATAGTTGTGACAAAGACTCGTAGATGACGCTACGCTACATTATTTTATCTCTGATAATTTTTTGGACGCGGGAATATAGTATTCGGTTGACTATGTTCAGGCAGTATTCGCTAATCAATGGTACTAGCAACTTTCATAGCTAGACAGACTTTTTCCTGAGGAAAACCGAAAAAGAAAACTATTTTGCTTTTTAGAATAAGTGTTATCTTGTTTATAGCGTTTTGACACTTTGTAGGACTGTATTTTATTATTTAGACAGTAATGTCCTAATTTTTTGCATTTTAGGCTTTCTACCATACCCTCGAAGGCATACAGCGAATTACCAGTAACCGTATTAAGGAGCTAGCAGTTCCCCTACTACTTCCCAGATGCTACAAAGTGACAGCGTGGCAACACGCCTGAATCAGGTTTCTTAAAAACACAGAGTAAGACATATCGATGGAGACCATTTCGACCAAATCCAATTCGACAGCCAAGCTAGCGGTGTCAAATCCAGTATCTAAAATTTAAGCGTCATTTGTATTAAGTCCCCTAATAATGATAGGTTGTAAAAAGGTCCTACGTCTTCCTATCCTTCTCGTTTTTACAGAAGCAATATTTTAGATTTTTCTTTTATAAGCCAACTGCTGAAGGCAAGGTAAAATAAACGTTTCAAATTGATCTAAACATACATCACAGATTCTCCCTAATAATTATTTGTGCAAAATCATGCTATATCAATGGTATAATTGTCATCCTCATTTTCTTAAACTTACCTATCCATTAAAATTGGATGTTTTCGAATATCTCCAATTTGATAGGATATAGTACTTTTTAAAGTAGGTAAGAAAACTTTACCACACCCCAGCACCCTCCAAATTTTGCATTATTCTCTTAATCTTCAGCAACGCTCGCAACTCAATAGCGTCTGTCTTTCGGAAAATTTATAAAGTTTGTTAACTCTAAGCATAATACGTTGATGATAACTCATAGCTGGAAAGAAAACTCGATAGTTCTATAGATTAAATTGACATTTCACGTGTATCTATTTACTCTAAGGCGCAGGATTAACACCGCACATCCAGGGCTTCTTTCACTGTATAGCCAAGATAATGGAATGTAAAATGCTGCTGCTTCAGTAAAGCGCAAAATGGTGAGGTCAGTTAAACAAATAAAGTGCAATATTTGAAAATCTCTTGGGAATCGTAAACTTTAATATGCCGGAATAATATCTGTTTGAGATGGCCGAAAAATTGTATGAATATCAGGGATGCATAGGGTGGTTGCATGGCTTTAAGGATAATTTGAAAGAGAAATATTCCCATCTTAAAGAGAATGGTTTAAGTTGTTTGAATGAGAAGTTAAGTGGTCGTGGTGAGATAGATGTTAACAGCGAGGATTTTTCTCATCTTTACAGGTAAGTTAAATGTTTTTAGTAGTCTCGTGATGTCTGGTAGTGAGAGAAATCATGGTGTTTTCTAGTATCTTGTTGAAAAATGAACTTTGAATAGTGTACCTGTAATGTAGAAAATCGGTATACGAAACAGCATCAAAACAGTTAGCTAACGCTCTTGAACGTACATATTTATATGAATTCTGTTTCGAATTATTAGTAAAGCGTCTGGATACTTTATGAAACGATCTCGGAGAAAAGTGATAAAGAGGAATTGGATCCATTAGCTCCATAATACCCTGAATGCTCTAAAATAATTGTAAATTCTAGAATATTTAAAGACTTTTTATACCGATCATGTGATATATTGAAACATATTTAGTTTTTGATTCTGCAGTATACCTTTCACAAATTGTATAAAAATCGACCAACAGTTACCAAGATAGGAACAGCATTATCTAAAATTCGAATGTTTCAGTGAACTAAAGCTTAGCTCTTATGGTTGTGAGTTCTAGATATTTCCGATAATATCAAAACTTTTTTTCGGTATTTGTTTTAAAATGCCCCCTTCTGACTTTTATATTGTTCTTGAGCTTTTTATTGATTTTAACTTCATTGAATGAATATTTTGCAGAAGGAAAACAAGAAAAGAACTAGTGCGCATTTCAGCCGCTGTGATGGGCATAGAATTTTCTTACGCTGCAGAAACGGCCTTTGTTTCACCAACACTTCTGAAAATTGGCGTAGAACACAAACATATGACGCTCGTGTGGGCTCTGTCGCCGCTCATCGGGTTCTTTTTGACTCCGATTCTGGGCTCATTGAGTGACAGGTGTCATCTGAGCTTTGGTAGGAGGAGACCCTTCATTTTGGCTATGTCTCTGGGCGTTTTCCTAGGTAGGCAAATAACATTGATATATAATCCCTAAGGGATATGGCATAACGTTTTGGGTCGCGAGACCGGCCAAGATTTTTATTGTTCAAATATCGATACGTAGTTGCCACAGTAACGTAAGTCACCAAAAACGATTTCGGAGAAAGAACGTGTTTGTAATTTAACCTGGTTAAACTTTTTTAAATTGTGCAAAATTTACCAGGGTGTTTCTCTGAGGTCTATATTTAATTAAGAAAAATGATTTTTGAAGTTTTTCTATAGTTTAGTGGTTAATTGATACTTACGTTACTTTACGGGTTCAGAAATCTCGAAGTCTTGATCAAAAATGTAACGTAAGTACACAGATACGTCAGTTTGGCGGCAAATTGTAGCACTTAAAGTATTTTGGAAAGAATTAAAAACTATCGTTTATTATTAAAAAAACACAAAATAACGTTACAAAAGAAAATATGAAATTCTTACTAGTAAAAAGTATATATTTTTTTAAGTTTTGGAGCTTTCATCTTCATTGTCATCCTCTGCATCAGTTTCTGCTAACTCATCTGGAAGAGAAGACTTACATTTTAATTTAAAGAATTCATCGTGAAACCTGGCAAATTGAACAACCACTGTCCCATTTGAGCTAACAGTACTTATTGGTACATTTATTTCTTCTTGCATAGTATGGTTACCATCATTTTCATAAGGACTCGAATTGTTAGAAGACAATAAAATTGATTGATCTATTTCGATTACGTCTTCATTTACTAAAGTAGTTTTTAAAATATTTTCGGAATTATCTAGATCAAAAATATTGTCACTAGAAATAATGGATATCGGCATAGACCCGATTTCTTCCTCAAAATAAACATTATTCGATTCATTTTGGCTAAGAGCCACCAAAATCCTTTTTGTTCGTGAACTGACCATAGACATAATCTGAAAGTAACCGAGCATTTATGTTTACAATGTTTCATAGCTTCTATAAAAATTAGAATAGAAACAAATACAACAGTCTTTCTCTAACTTCAACCGATTCATTCCTGTAAATTTCTCACAGGCTTCGAGGTTATGACAGAATAACTTCTAATAAATAAACGAAATTAAATATGAAATGGGAGTTTTATAGGTAGGTACATAATATTAGTTAAGGTTTTAATATTTTTAAATTCTAACTACAAAAAAACCTTTTTTTAACTTCAACCGATTCATTCCTGCAAATTTCTCACAGACCTTGAGGTTATCACACAATCATTTGTAATAAATGAACGAAATTAAATATGAAATGGAATTTTATAGGTATGTACCTACATAATATGAGTTAAGATTGTAATATTTTTGAATTCTAACTATAAAAAATGTCGTTTACTTACCTAAAATCAATAATTAGTCGATGGTAGCACGAACCTAACACTGTCGTAAGCCAAACACTGACTGCGAAAATCTGACGTAAGTCGCAGAAACCGACAGGGACTTACGTTATTATGGCGGTAAAAAACCTTAGCTTGCATTACTATGATGGAAATAGTGTTAAAGTTACGTTTCTTTTACGGATCTGATTTAAAAAATTCTGGACATACGTGTCCAAAAAAGTTAAAAACAAAGGTTTAAAGTAAAATCTAGGCTTCCTACACCTTGGCAGTACCTTCTCAACAATAAAAGCCTTACGTTAATGGAAAAACATGATTTTCACCAAAAATGTCACTTACGTTACTTTGGCAAAAATGTATCGATATGTATGTCAAAAGGAAATGCGTTTATGTTTTGCAAAACTCCGCCACGCTTTTCAGGTAATATTTATTTTTCGCATACTATTTTCACCGTTATTTTGTTTTTGCTATTGCAAAATAGTGTCTTGTGTCTTGATGGTACGCTGTAGGAGATCCGCTCTGGATACAAAAAAATTATCAGGCATAATGTTTCACAGGTTAGTAAAGACAAGATGCAGTACCGAACTGAGGTTTCTCTGTTACCTTGCTGCTGATGTATTCTCTCTGAAGCGAGACCTGTGTCAATATGATACAAATGATCATTGGTTCTGCCCCCTGACGCCGTCTTGTATAGCCAAAGAGATTATAGCAGCGCCTCTCTCGATACTATTTCGATGTAAATATCTTAGGCTGACCTTTAAGCGAACATTGACTGTTACTCATTTTTCCGGATAGAATAGCGAACTTTTCATCTAAAAAAAATTTGTAACTGTTGCAACAGCGATTCTTTATTTACAGGTCTCATCTTAGTTCCAAATGGTGAATATCTAGGCTACGCAATGGGTGATCCAAGACCTTCAAATAAGCTCACTAAAGTAGCCGCTCACAAAATTAGTGCATCCTCAAAAAGCGTACCTATCACCAGCGACATGACCAGAACTATAGCATTAAATGAAACAGAACCTCTACCGAGATCGACTGTACCTTCACACGAACTGCCCCCATTGTATCATTCTTGGGGTGTTTTCTTCACCATCCTTGGAACAGTTTTGTTGGATTTTGACGCAGATGGTTGCCAAAGTCCGGCTAGGGCGTACCTTTTAGATGTTACTGTACCAGGTGCGAATATACTTTTGTAGCTTCTGAAATGCATGCTCTAATCACTTGCATATTTAAACCACAAAAAAATCAATATCTACATAAAATAAACTGTGTAAAATGGACTATATTTAACTAGGGACATTAGAATCTACATAAGTGGTTATATTTGTGAGGCATAAAGTAAAATGGGGTCAGGTATTCATACTGAAGGGATGGTTTAAAAACGGTAACAGAATGATATGTAATATAATCCTATTGAAACAGTATTTAATATTGTTAGTCTGTTACAGAGGACCATGCTCGTGGTCTGAGTACTTTCACTATAATGGCTGGACTAGGAGGATTTTTTGGGTATGCTCTTGGTGGAATAAACTGGGATGTTACCTTTATTGGTAAGGATCATACTAGTAGTAGTAAGCCAAAGATTTAAGATTACTTAAAATATACAGTAGCAAATATTTGTCAGACAGTCGGATACCATTCTTATTAACATCCGTAATCACATAGTCGCCGGAACTAGACTATCCAATTTTTTACTATAATTACAGGGTGACCAATACCTAAAACTGACTGATTTGTTTCTCCCATATCTTTGTAATGAAATGGAATAGATACATTTATACAGAGTGGCTGATATGTAACTGACTAGTTTGTATCTTGAATATTTGTGAAACGAAATAAAATACGTCCATTTTTTTCATCTTATTATAAATTAATGTCCGCCTCTAGAAGCCGCGCAAACCTGAGCCCTCCTGGTTGCATTTTTCATCACTTTTTGGTGGGTTTCGGGAGGAATATTTTCAGTCGCCTCAGTAATATTGCTGTTCAGCTGCTCTACAGTATGGTCAGTTGGCATCACCAAATCGAGAAATTAAACGTCCCGGAAATATAGTTCGTAAAATATTCATTGTTTCCCAAGCTGTGTGACAAGTTGCTCCATCCTGCTGAAACCGCATGTTTTGCAGGTTAAATTGTTGGATTAGAGAAGCCAGAAAGTTTTGCACCATATCACGGTAGCGCTCGCCAGTGACAGCGTCTTCAAAGAAGTAAGGTCCAATGACACCTCCATACCAAACACCGCACCAAACTGTGTCTCGATGAGGATTTAGTGGTCGTTGATGGATGACACGAGGGTTCTCTAATGCTCAGATACGACAATTCTGCATATTAACAAATCCCTTTATATTAAAGTGAGCTTCATTTTTCATTATCAGTTGTCGGTAAAAATCGTTATTTTGGATATTCAGCTGCAGTACTGCATGAGTGTATTGTCGGCGACTTCCATGGTCTCTAGGCTGTAGTTCTTCGGTTAACTGAATTTTGTATGGCCGCAAATGCAAGTCTTTTTTTAAAATGTAGTGCATAATGTTCTTGAGAACGATGTCTGGTAGACGACTCAGGGCGCTCCACTACACTCTCACAAACTCTGATATTTTCCGGAGAATGAACAGTTCGAACACGGCAAGTCTTTAGCTTCACCTGTTTGTCCAAATTTCCGCACCAACTGACGAATGGTGTTGACACTAGGTACATGAGTGCGACCGAAATCTTATCGTAGTTTCCGAATTGGATGAATTGGACACATGTGCTTTAAACAACTACTACGGTGCCTCCTTCTGGAATGCGCGTATCAAACTGGCGCAAGATTTGAATCAGTCAGTTATATATTGGTCACCCTGTATATGTATATTGTATTTGCCTATTGTCCAATTATGGAAGCCGCATAATCTTGAGTTCCATCGTCTTTGGTAGATTTCAGATTTCAGGGCAAACGTTTTGAATATATTGCTGCTCAGTTACCCTATGGTGATTGGTTAGAAATCCGGTGATCTTGGAGTCCTAATAGTATGATCAAAGAAGTAAGTTCCGACGCACACGCTGTAGGACCTCACCAGAACTGGCGAGCGTTACCCTGATATGATGCAGAGTTGGGTGGTTCCTGAAATTCGACTACTTAACCTGTAACAAATGTGGCTGTAGCAGGATAAGTCAACGTACTATACATGGTGTTTCTAATTCGACCCTCACCGTTGAGATCTCGGAAACTGTAAGAGATGCGAAGTCGCTTAGAGGGGAGGGGGGCAAAGTTGCTTATTTAGATAATCAACAAGATACGGGCTAGAAAGTTTCAAAATTCAATGTACTCCCGGAGAGAGACGGAAAATACTGAATTTTCCCAAAATCGTTTTAATTTTTCCAGAGTTTATCACTAGTGGGATTTTAAAATAAATTGCACATTAACATTACCACTTTTCCTGCTCTCAAAGATAGCATAATTAGAATTTATATATGACATTCGCCTTTTTATACTTTGTATAAATAAAGCCGGATTATTATTATTATTATTATTATTATTATTATTATTTCGTCTATAGTCCTGCATCATCAACTTTATTTTTTCTTATAGTCGCCATATTAGACTCACACATTACTAAACCTTACTTATTTCAAAAAAGCAAATATTCAGATAGTAATTTGTTTCCCGTACCAGATTCATCCCTAAATCACTTTTATCTTTTCCTAACTCTATTTGATCTATGGGATCCAAAATTAATTGCATCACATCATTGCCACCCTTTCTCTTCTACAATATGGCAGGCATAATTAGAATTTTAGTATGATGTTTCGTCTCTTGTTCTCTGTGTAATATGTATGTCAGATATTAACATTGCCGAACATTAGTTTTTTCAGAAAAACATAAGTTCCTAGGCATGCCTTGAAATTATCAGAGTTCTTTTGTTTTGTATACCAGACCAGACCTCATATTGAATATAGCAACAGAGTTTGGAAGACTGAGAACAAGAGGAATAAATTGAGCAGTGAACAATGTGCAAATAATAGTCAGCATTTGTCTGCAAAATAACGGACACTTTGAACATCTGCTATGACTTATCTCTGCTTATTTGTGATTATTATTGTTATTACCATCTATACAATTTTCATTTTGAGTTCAGGTTCCACAATACCTTGTTATTTCCATATAATTTTCATCCAAACAAAGTTGGTGATGGAACTCTAAAGAAGATATGTCGAACGAAAATTTGACTACACCATCTTGTAGAGGAGAAAAGGTACAAGGACAACATGACAATTTATTTTGAAATAACATCTCGAATAAGGCCAGGAAAAAATAAAAGTGATTATGGGCTAAATTTGGTATGCGAAACAAATGACTATCAGGTTGACTTCAAGGCCTATCTACGAAATTCTGCTTTTTTCATAACTAAGGTTGGGCAACGTGAATGTATGTCGCATTATACATTTTTGTAATCAGAATTAAGAACTCTATTCATGTGTGTAAAAATTTAATATGGCGTCCATAAGAAAAAATAAAGTTGATGCTGGAAGACAAGAGACGAAACTTCATATTGAAAACCTAATTATTTCTTCTTGTAGGGAGAAATTAAACGATTTTGGGAAAATTTAAAAATTTCCTAAGCAGCATTCTGTTGATTATCTAAATACGCAAGTTTGTCCCCAGTTAAGCGACTTCATATCTCTTACGGCTTATCCTGATCCCAATGGTGAGGGTCGAATTTGAAACACCCTGTATAGCTAGAGAAACGATGAATGTTTTTTGAAAAATGTGTTTAGGGTATTTGGTTAGGCAAAGGAGTCCAAGATCGCCAGTTTTAACGCCCCCAAAATTCCTTCTTTGGAGATTTCTAAAAAATATGGAGCTGTGAAGTGAAAGAAAATCCAATCAAAAGGATTCAGCTTTGTCTGGTTTCCAGAGCCGGGTATTTATATACCATTTTTCCACACATCACTTCTAAAATTCCATTAAAGAATGATATAAAAAATCGGATAAATCTCCTTTCATTCTGAAGATTTAGGGAAACATATCAGCCAGTTATATTTATGCAGATTATCGTGTATTTCCGTCTTATAGGAAAACTTTTGGGAGGCCATGTTCGAGCAGTATTCACTTTGATCACAGTGATTTTTGTGGTATGTGTGACTTATACGGTCACCAGCTTCAAAGAAATCCCACTGGGCCTCTTGGAGCTCAAAGCAGATCATTCTGAATCAATACCTTTCGAGAGCTCTGAAGAAGGAAACGCCAGAAGAGTCAAAGCTTATGGAACTTTGAAAGATGATACTGGGGAGGAATATGATGGAGATAGCTCATATCAGGTAGACTTCGATTATTAAAGTGGAGCGTACAGTGATCAAAATGTGTCATTTGGTACTATCAAGAGATTGTAACAAAGATATCGTCTTTGAATGGATTTTGTTCTTCCTTTCAACGACACCTTTACACTGGTATCTTTTTACAGAATATTCAAAATGGTGACCAAATGCAAGAGCCTCTACATCAGGTCTATGAAACTCCAAGAAAAAGTATTGCTCCAAACCCAAATGCTTCCTTCTTGATATACTTACAGAGTATCATTTACATGCCACATTCCATTAGGATGTTGTGTCTTACAAACCTATTTTGTTGGATGGCACATGTTTGTTACTCTCTGTATTTTACCGATTTTGTTGGAGAAGCAGTATACTTAGGGAATCCAGTAGTAAGTTTTTTGCTGTCATAACGGATTAAGGGACAACTTAAGCTAGTCTGAAGCTAGTACACGATGTACCAGCTAGTGCAGTTAATGTTAGTTCGATTTTCACTTCAGCGCTTCATACTATACAGAGTATTATTGATAATGAAAATGTAGAGCAGGTACATACTATTCAACGGAGGCTTTATTCAAATCCCGACATTAAGCTCCTCAGGTTCAATCTACAAATTATCTCATTTAATTTCTAAACTGTCCGGAAGTATTTTGGACTTCACCTGGAACCACGCTCTTGCAATATGTATTAAACACTGTCATATCGAAAAAACACCCAAAAAATGTATTTCGAAGAATTCATCTACTTTGTAAATGTAGGTACATATTTATTTCCTGGAGTATAACTTATTTTTATTCCTTTAGGCGAGTGAAGGTACTGTGGAAAGGGAACTCTATGAATCGGGAGTACGTTTTGGATGTTGGGGCATGTCTATGTACTCCTTGTCATGCGCTTGTTATTCTTCTGTCATAGAAACATTCATTACTATGTTTGGGTAAGCACTACAGTATCAAATGAATGTTAAAAGTCAACAACACAGGCTTAAATGATCCATTAAATACTGAAAACAGAATTGAATATTACGGACTTCGGAATTGGCTCCGTCCACATTCGCCAAAAGAAAATAAGAATACAGATAATCTTCGTCAACCACTTTAGGATCAATTGAAACACTTATCAAAAAAAGCTAAGGAATTTTAAAATATACGAATGTGTGCTTATAATAGAGGAACCCAATTGGGGATTTTAGGATCATATTCAGCGTGGCAGATTAAGATAAGGACAGATATCTTGCATCCTGTTGAGTACCTTCGTCATACATAAGCCCTTTATACAGTGAGGTACATCTCCGGATCAGAATAGTAAAAAAATCTATGGTTGGAATATTCGTGCGCGTCACACTAAGGTAGGGTGGGTAAATTACATGCTGAAAAGTGTGTGCTCCAAAAATCTGTAGATTTGATTTTGAAGTAAGGGTGGTGGGAGGGTCACAAACTTAAAAAAAAATTATAACGAATAGTGATAACTATATGCGGTATTCACTAGATTGTAGAATTTGTCAGTCATTCATTGTCTAAATTATGAAAAATAATAGAGTAAAATCCCCAAATATGGACTGGTCAGCTAATATGGACCACCTTATTTTCCTTACAATGGCAACACCGCAACATCTAAATCATTTCTTATATTGTTCCGTACTCAACCCGCTATGTGTCAGTCCATTTTAAGCAGTGCAGGTGCAACGTTGACGTCAAGTCGGCCATAGTAATTTGTTGGCGGTATATGATATAAGTTTTAGGTAAGTTTCACAAGGATGTAATCCTGAAAATATTATTTTTTTCTCAGTTTATTTATTGAGTATGCCTATTGTTTTGTTAGATTGCTCAATATTTGAGATGATTATTGGGTTATTTTTTCCAGAATAATAAGATAAGTAAAAAAATGTTGTTCTTTTAATATGGACTACCTTTGAAGTATTAAATATGGACTAGTGGTCCATATTAAAAGCTGTTTTTCTTTTAGAATATGTATTCACAAGCGAAGAATCCACTTAAGAAAAGACAAACATGGGACCAGGAAGCAATGAAAAATGCCATAATTGCAGTGAGAGAGAAGAAAATGGGATATTTAAAAGCCGCAAAATCTTTCAATGTCCCTAAAACTACACTTATTTGCTTATCTAAAAACAATAATTTACCCTTACACAGCCTAATAGCAATTAAACTAGGAAGAAAAGCTATTCAACCAGAAAATCTAGAAATTGACTTGGTCAGTTACGTTCTAGCTATGGAAAATAGCGGTTTAGGTTTGACGGGACATTAAATCAATTGCATACTAACTCGCCAAACGCAATAATTTAAAAAATGCTTTTTCTAAAGTAAATAAATCTGCGGGAAAAACATGGCTGAAGTTGTTTTGTCTCGTCATCCTAATTTGTATTTTCGTCGTTCGAGAGGAACTTCAGTTGCGAGGATTAAAGGATTTAACAGGTAAAATGTCTCTAATTTTTTTGGCCTATTGGAGAAAGCAATGAATGAATTCAAATATCCTCCTGCTAACATCTACAACCTTGATGAAACGGGTATATCTGTTGTCCCAAAGAAAATGCCGGAAGTTCTATCACTAAGGGGTACAAGACAAATAGCTGCAGTCACTTCTGCTGAACGGGGTTCAACCGTTATGTGTGTCATTTCTATGAATGCAGCAGGATTATTCGTCCCACCAATGATGATATTTCCCCGTAAGCGAGACCATCCGCAATTAATGAATGGTGCTCCACCTGGAGCAATACACGCTTGCCATCCAACAGGGTGGATCCAAACAGATCTGTTTACTCAATGGTTTAAACAATTTTTGGAAAATGTGGAACCTTCCGCTACATCACCAGTCCTCTTAATATTGGACGGACATTCAAGTTACACTCGGAATATAGAGGTAATTGATTTAGCACGTAAAAACCATGTTCAGTTATTGTCTATACCTCCCCATTCAAGCCATAAAATCCAACCTCTGGACAAGCCGTTTATGGGTCCTTTGAAAAAATATCTGTCAGAATAAATTCGTGTATGGTTTCGAGTTAACACTAAACCAATAACTCACTATGACAGCAGGTTTTTTGACTGTGCATACGTGCAGTGCTAGCTATAAATGGCTTTAAAACAACAGGGGTTTATCCTCTTAACAGATACATCTTTAAAGATCATGACTTCATTACTGTATCTGAAACTGAAGAGTTGGGTAACGAATCTCCCACGAACAGTAATTTGTCTGGTATAACAGTCAAGACTACCAACAATTCAATTCAGAGCGGTGGCGATGCTAGCGTCTTAATTCCGAACCACGTAGCAGGTACTTCAGCAACTCCTGCGTTTATCACGGCGATAAATATCAGTCCAATACCTCGCATAAGAAACATAAAAAGTAATAGGAGAAGAAAGGCCACTAAAGCGACTGTTTTAACATCTTCACCATACAAATTAGAACTTGAGGAATCACTTATGAAGGGCAAAAAAAATCCATGTAGCCTAAGACAAATAATAGGTTGAAAGAAGCATTAATGCTAAATGAAGATAAAAAAAAGTTACCAAGGAAACCAACACGGAAAAACGAAAACCCCTTCTTAAAACGCGTGAAAGCTCTGTACTGTGATAGTTTGTATTCCCAAGATTGCAATGGGGAATTATGGATCCAATGTGTCTCTTGTAGCCGATGGGCACATGAAGATTGCAGTGGTGTGGTAAACTTTCGTTACTTTTTGGAAAATGTGTTGTTTTATTTTGGCATTTGTCTATTTTTTGAGAAAAAAATGTGTGTATAAGCAATAATATATTACTGATTAAATAAAATAAATTAGACTGATTTCTGACAATTTTTCAAATTTTTATTTAAAAAAAAGTTAGGGTGGTCCATATTTAGGGAACTTACTCTAATACTAGTGCGATCGAAGTTTTCGAAAAAACGGTATTTCTAATTTTGAGGTTAAAGTTACGCCTCCTAGCGGCCACTTTAGGGAGCTAAACATAATTTCCAGCAATTTCTCTAGGTCACTTTTGTTATCTTTTTTTTAACCGATAGCTCTATGTTGCCGACGTACAGCCCGTTCTCGCTGTGCTCTATTCTCGTAACAGATGGCACCTGGCCGTCTTATTTTAATTTTCACAAGTCTTGATACAGTGTTGCATTAGAACCAAGGTTGCAATTTATAAGAAACAGCCATAGGCATAAACGCTCGTAATTCTTCTACTTTACTCTTATGGGCCTACCACGAAGTTAAGACTGTGGTGAAGCTTGAACACGGACGTGGCTCCCACACGGCACAGTTAAGTACGCGCAAGCCACATTCTTGTCAAGATCGTCGTCGTGGAAACAATGTTTCCCAATGAAGAACTATTTCTTCCGTTGTTATATTTTAAGGTTTTGTTAATGAAGAAAAAGACACGGCTAAAGTCTAAACGTAAACGATCGAAGTGGATGAAGAAATGGCTGTTGAATGGAAAAATTCATTCACATATAAATCTACTGAAATATTTAGAAGATGAGTCAAACGATTGGCGAAATTATTTACGGATGGATGAAAATGCCTATAGGTAGTGAATTACGCCTCTCATTCAACGTCAAAATACGGTTATGCGTGAAAGTATATATATCACCTCACGAAAGGCTGACCGATACTTTAAGGTTCCTGGATACTGCATTCTTTTAATTTCTGTCGGAATAATCATTGCACTTAATTTTACAGAGCGCTGGTAAGGATTTGTATAAATTTATTAATTCTGTCGTGAACTCGCGATTATATGAGCGCAAATCTGCCATCTTGTGACGGACGAACGCGTACCTACCAAACGACAACTAGCCTCGACTATGGCTTGAACACTGAACACCCAACCATGCACAGGCAAGTACGCGCAGCCCAGGCTTGCGCATGCAAAATTTCAAACAAATCAAAACTCGCGCCACGCTGCGAGGTTTGCGCAAGCCAACGGAACGCCAACCACAGGTACAATGTCCCATGTACAAACCGGCCTGCCTAAGTAAAACTGTGGTGAAGCTTGCGCGTGTGGTAGGCCCATTAGAATGCAACCCACATCACTCATCATTCGGCTTCGGTCGAACATCGGCATCGGATTCAGTTGACAATCGATCGGACCTTGGGGTTGATTCTAAATAGGTTTTGACCGTTGAAATTGATTTCGAAGGCGCCTTGTGACGATATACTTGATTCGCTATGATAATTTTGACATCTGATTGTATGGATCTTCTATATTCAAATTATCATGGCAGTGTCAAAATTATCATAGCTAATCGAGTATATCGTCATAAGGCGCCATCGAAATCAATTTCAACGGTCGAAACTCATTTAGAATCAAGCCTAGGGTCCAGACCTAGATACGAGAAATGGTGAAAGCGATAACGGTTTTTCAACCATTGCTGAAAATATGTAAGCACACTCACCATTTTCAAAATTATTGCAAACAAGTGGCAGCTAAATAATAAGATTTGGGAGATTCAAAATCATAAAAAAAATTGCTGAACAATTTTTTTAACCTATGCATTAATGGGAAGGCAGAATAACCCTTTCAGTTTATTTCATTTTCCAGAGCTAGGCGGGTATATGTTGGTGGACTGCTAGTCTATTCGACAGGGATGTTTCTGATGGCTGTCAGCAAGCATGTAGTTGGTGTCATACTGTTTAGTTGGACAGCTGGGGTCATGTATTCTACTTTGTTCACAATGCCTTATTTGATATTGGCACACTACCATTCTACCGGTGTGGTGAGTCTTATACGTTTCATTAAGACATATTTGGCGAGTTTATTCGGGAAGTTTTTCGACACATTAATAACGGATCACCTGAAGGGTACAAAATATTGAACTCGTTCTGGGTATATTTGCCAATTCTGAGGTGAACTTTTTATTTATGCATCTCAACAATTGCAAAGCGTAAACAGCATGTTTCAGGTTTGGGAACTGGCTTGCTTTGTAACTGGAACTTTGGATTTAATATTTTGAAGGTGATAAAGTATTTGTTAGGGTTCTAAGTGTAGAGGTATATGTCCAGAAAATTCCAAAACAGATCTAGATACACTGTGTCATATTTTTTTCTCGCTTTGCTACTAGATAACTTTATATGAGACAAATTTTGCGGATGATTTTCACAAACTCGTAGACGGTAGTCTCAAACCAACATTTTTGAGTCGCTTCAAGAATTACTGAAAAATACACGGTTTGTCTCGCTGGCAAGTAACATTTTACATTCTTTTTTCGGAAAAGCACGTTTATGCTATTTTTAAACTCTTTAAAGGGCAAACAGCGTTTTTACTGTTCAAGTCGGAAATATAAAACTAAATTCCCTAGGATAAGCACGAAAAACCAAGTGTCTATTTTTTTCAGGCGTATACCCCTTCCAACCCGCCGTTCAAAAATTCTGGAAACAAATCATGAAAATAAAATTAAAACGGATCCCTCGAAATGTTATGTTAACCATTTACGATTTCGAAAAACTTGTAAATACTACCACTATTACTCAACTCGCACCCGGGAGATCACAATTTGTCGGATTCTACCGAAACTTTTACAGAAGGCTATCACCATGCCAAGGGCAAACATGCATTGTGGGTTTTTTAAATCAGTCCAATGGAATTGGTGTTACGTTCAAAAGAAACGAAATACATATTCTGAAATATCTGCAAAGATATTTTTTCGAGTTTCTATTCGTTGTGGGGCGAGATGTCAAAGTGCTTAACAATGTTCAATCTTGATTTTTAAAGTCCCTCAAGTTTTGGGGATACATTTTTATGATCAAGCATCTCACATTTCGTTCCTAATTATAATGTTCGCATAGTTAGATTGTTAAGTTGATTCATGCCAATGCGTAGGAACTATTTGACTCCATTTTTTTTTTCAGTTTGAACAGCCTACAGAAGGAGATCAGCCAAAGTGCCTGAGCCAAATCCGTGGTCTTGGAACTGATGTGGCCATCGTTTCAAGCATGGTGTTCCTGGCGCAGTTCCTGTTATCCATGTGTATGGGCACAATAGTTAGCGTGAGTGGAACTACCACAGCTGTGGTAGCTGTGGCTAGTGCTTTGGCATTTTGCGGGGCTATCTCAGCTACTAGAGTTGTCTATGTCGATCTTTAACGGAAAACGAAATCACATTATCCCTGATAATATGTATACAGTATTTTAGCACTAACACTCTACAACTGAAGTATCTTAGGGAAGTCGCTGTAAATAGCAACAGTGATTCGGGCCTGTCCATTCGTAAAAGCCACCCAAAACCTTATGGGGAATGGCTTTCGGATATTTTTTCAAATTCAGTTGTAGATCTCAACATGTAGAATAATAGTGTTCAGGGGCCTAAACCTTTCCCAGTTAGAATTTCTGAGGACCACCATGCTGGGCTTCTGTATCCAATCATTTACAACAAATAGATTTTGGTTTCGATAAACAATATGGAATAGCTGTTTATTTATTCATGTTCGTATCATCATGTCTCCTAGCCGTTTCATCAGCAACGCAATTCTGACTTACATGGGTTGTGTATTGCTCTGAGATACAAACTTTTCCAAAAATCGGACTGCACTGTATTGTGGGAATATATTTCAAAAATTTTCAGTACTATACATGATATCCCACTACAGAGCTGGATGTTGGGTGATGTTTTTAATAGATACCATATTTTTTATTTTATATTCAGATAGCCCTAAAGACTGCTGCGTTTTTTCGAGTTTTTCTTTGAAACAGAGGTTGTCTAAGAAACGCTGAAAGTTGTTCGATTCCGGTTCTCTCAAATGCACATAATTGATGATTAGGGCAACCAGTGTATTTTAATATACCCACTATGTGTGAATTCATTTTAGATACCTAGCCAAATGTGTTTTATGGCGAAATTGAGGGATTTCGTTTTAAAAACCTAGGTATTAGTGGCCGATATACAGGTTAACATAGAGATGTGACAATGACTGAAAAAAAACCTTTTTAGGTAGGTATCAATTAATTTGTGGAAAATCGATTTTCTCTATTAGTTGACAAACTGCGTGCTTTTTTATATGATAATAAAATTAACAGAGCAGCATTGACAATTTATCATAATAAAAACCAAGTCAGATAAATATAAAATAATCAAAACTGCGGTCTCCTGATGTAACAAGTAAAAGACAAATATAAAGGTTTTTCAGTGTACACATATTATTAGAATTACATAAACAAGATGAGTACAACAGAAACATTAAAAAATTTAAAATACTAAACAAAACTGGTTTGTGAACTTCAAACAATAAAATATTACGAATAATTATTCTCAGACTTTTTGATATTATATTATATTTTTAAATAGCGGCGAACATCTTGGATTTGCTTTTTTATGGTGTATTGAATTTATAAAGTCAAGTCTTTCCATTTGATACTCATACTGAAGAGGCTTGATTAATAATCTCTCGCGCCATCTTGTAGCGGGCCTATAAACGTAATGGATTTTCAATATTGGTGGACCAGTGAACCTGCTGGTAGTGATGGTAAAATAAGAAAGTAAAATAGGTATCAACCAGTTATACGCTTACTGTATACGGATTCAGTCTGCCCAACTTGAATGGCATGTATCTCGAAGACTACTCGTGGAAAACTTTGGGGGCGAATCATGGACACTTTTTGAGTATATATTGAGATCTACAACATACTAAATTTAAAAAAAAATTAGTCATCATAACGTTTCAGCGGGGTCGACGAGATCGACATTACTTGGCTAGCGGTACCATCAATACTCCCTGTGAGGTTTGAGTTGGGTGATATGGTGGTAGCCTATACTCTATACTATACATATAATATCTGAGTTGACAAAAGGAAATATTTTTAACAAAAATGTCAACAAATACACCACTTATTTAGCTTTGTAAAGCAGCGTGCATACTAATGACGATATATCTAGTTGAAAATAATTGAATAAAAATATATTTTTTAACTCATTCAGATTTACAGGTATGTTTGGATTTCTTTGGACTTCCATATGACTAGTATTATTCCTGTGACAAAACAGTTTTAACCAGGACATATAATGAGTATCGCAAGCCACTTAGTTATTTTTATAGCTTAGGCGAATTTTCTAGATTAAGAGTAGACTAAGATTTATTTTGTTCATATTATTTATCATCGATTCATTTTTGTAGTTGCAGTTTATAATTGCTATTAATTTCATATAAATATTAAATCTACTTGGAAAACTTCTTTCGTTTCATTTGAGAAATATCAAATCATTAATTTGCCGGGTTATTGGATATTGGACTGATATGAGATGAAACCAGAATTTTGAATCTTCAACTCCTTTCGCGTTCCCTCATCGCAACCTTGATAAATATGCTAAAAGCCTACTCCCAATCAAAAACATGTTTGAATATACATCTAAAATATATTCAAAACCCATTAACTTGGCGTCGAAGCAAATATGAGAGCTCGATCGTCTCTTTTATTCGTTTGTCGCTGTCCATCTCAGGGCACTTAAATATACTAAGTGACATAGAAAAAAGAACAGTCTGCAATAATACGAGTATTACATCGGTTCCGTAGAACCAACAGCCTGATACACCGACCTTGGTGTGGGACCGTTTTTCTGACATGCCCTGTACCTCTAACTCTTCGTCTACGGCCGCCCTGATTCCATAACCCACAACAAACCACCACGGCATTCAAACTTTTGCGCACACTGGTATTTATTTCTCTAAAAGACCAACCAATCTCACACAAGCTCACTATTCGCCCTCTATCAAAAGCTTTCGAAAATTTTCTCGTCTCCTCACTCTCTGCATAACAAATTACAGCAGCTCTTCACCAGGTATTGTATGATGATCAAATGCCAATTGTAGCAACAAAACACAACTATTGCTTACTTACTTTTTTTTGTAAGAACAGACGATATATTTTTTTATACGGAAGCAGCCGCGCTCCCAACAGCCTAAATGCCGGTACACCGCGGCTGCTATGATGATCCTAAATAAATTTTGTTAATCCGACTTTTGAACTTCCTAAGGTTAATAGAACTGGAAAAACCTTCCTCTTGTAGGTTGTTCCACAATCTCGACACCCTCGGAACATAGGAGCGGTCGTATCGGCCAGTTCTTGATGTACGTTCGATACGGTTATGACGGGAGGCGGGTCTGTCTGCCAGGCACATCGCGCGGCGGCACCATAAAAGAGAGTTCTGAGGAGCAAAGCCCGTTGGTGTAGCGGTAGAAGAGAGCTAAAGGGTCCTGAGACTGTCATCCATCTGTCGGACAGCCCTCCTCTAGACAGCATCGAGCATAAATAATGTAGTCGGGACGGCAGCATCCCAAACGTGTGAGCAATACTCGAGGTTAGGCCTTATCTGGGCCTTGTATAGAGTGATAAGGTCATGCGGAGAAAAGTACTTCTTAGCTCTAATCAAATAGCCTAGCTTTTTCCCAACAGCTGCCGCTATTGAAGAGATGTGTTCGTGCCAGATCGGGTGGTACCGCCTTGTTTACCAACTTCTTTTTGCGTGTTAATGGTATTAAATAGACCTAAAGTAGCTCGTTGGCGGACTTATACCGCCACCCGGCAATCGGTACAGAGGTATTCCTTAACACGTGTACAATCACTTGAACGGGAAGAAGTTGTATACTGGATACAACGACTTCCGGAACAAGCATTTGCCATGGCCTCATTCAGTAGGGTGTTGAAAAAACAATTTTATCTGTATGGTTAAAAATCTGATTATTTCTAATACATTCATTATCACTGGATGTTCTTTTTCTATGTCAGTATAATTAAGTAAAAAACAATAAATATACATTTAGAATGATGATGACAATACACTACATCCAATAATAATGATATTTATTCGCCAAAATACAAAAAATGGATAAATAAATATGAAAATACTCCAGAAGGCATCGCCTGTGTGTGGATTATATCTTAATAACTAACAATCAATCATATGTATATAACAATTACTGTTAATTCTAAAAAGTATTAATATAATTGGAATTTTGTAGTTTCAGTTTTCTATATAATTATGTATAGTCATTCGCTGCACAGTACAAACCCAGTCTTTCATTTTTCGTCTAAATTTTTTTCCAGAATTAAGTGTTTCTATTTCGTTTGGTACTACATCTGCTACATACTAATATCTTAAGTACCACAACAAACTTAAGGAGAAGGTAGGCTTTGGACTGACGTCCTAAATAACAGAAACTTACCTATATAAAAGTCGTTTTTGAGATTTTGAATTTTTTCTTAAATTTTAAAAAAACTAACCTTTTCATCTGTGGTCTTCAGCTGCATGTAAAAATAAGGTTATACTTTGCTCATTTTTTCTATAAACTACTTCTAGATAGTTGCTTTATCATATACAAATTCAATGTAGTCGACGATATCAAGCAATGCTCTTTCGTTTTTTCACTTCCCTTGACGAGTCTGGATTGGAACGTTACGACGTCGGCGCGGTTTTTCTGTTTTTTTTTTTTTGGGTTCGCGAAAGGTGTTATGGGAAAGCGATACCGTTTCGGAAACTAGAAACTCGGCGCAAAGTCGAAAAAATGGTAGATTTTCGCGTAGTACGAAGACTTTTTTATCTGACTTTTCGCCGTATATCAAAATATCGACTCGAGATCGGTCTCGTTAAAAGATATTAAGGAACCATGATCAAATAACGACTATTTTGGGATTTATAACCTTCTGATATTTTTTCCTCAACTTTGAGCATCTGTGGTGAAACAAAAATGTACTGGGCTATAACTGCATTATATTGAATAAAAATATTGCTCATTGAATACAGATTTCAGAAAGGCACCACACGTACTGTGTATTTGGAATAGAAAAAAGTGATAGCTGCTTTTGTAAGTGACTGACCCACACTACTATGTAATTATTGCATTTAAATTCATGTTGCACTGGTTACCGATCAGTGACATGTTAAATAGTACAGAGCTACATTATTATTACCTGCTCCTGATATGATTTTATGAAAGTTGAGGAAACAATATCAGAAGGTTATAAATCCCAAAACAGTCCTTATTTTATCATGGTTTCTTAATATCTTTTAACAACATTGCATTTGTATATGATAAAGTAACTATCTAGAAGTATTTTATAGAAAAAAATGAAAAAAGTATAAACTTGTTTGTATATGCAGCTAAAGACCACAGATGAAAAGGTTTGTTTTTTTAAATTTAGGAAAAAATTCAATATCTCGAAAACAGTGACACTTTTATATAGGTAAGTTTTTGTTATTTGGGAGGTCAGTCCAAAGCCTACCTTCTCCTTAAGTTTGTCGTGGTACTTATTGGACACCCTGTGTAATTTAGCTGCTAAGAATTTAAATGATTTTTTGAATAATGTTTTGTGTGGTGTGCATATTAGATGAGCCTATTCGAAATCGTGTGTTATGCTCGTGTTTATGGGAATTTTTTTCATTACAATGCTTAAAAATTCAGTAGTAGCTAAGCTCACCCGGGGGTGAATTTAGGGGTAAGGTTTTTACAAAATATTGTGTTTTTCTTTCAATAAGTGTCGGTATTATTCATACAGATGAACAGTAATCGAAATGACGATCGTTGGAATATTAACCTTTAACTGGTATCGTCATTATTACTTACTTAACTGGTATCGTCGGGTCAATTCTAAATGCAATTTCAACTGAAACATGAAATTATCAAAAAATTAACATAACGGACCATTAAACAACATATTTGGTCTTCATATTCTACAACACAAAAAAAACGAATACTTTCTCGTATAAGATATAATTAAACTGGCCGTTATGCGCAAGCGTATACTGTATGAGAAATTATGGGACCCCCACCACATAACTGCGAAAGGCCCGAATCTGTGACGAATTAAAGATGCGCCATGTCAATTTTGACCCTACAATACCAGTAAAAGGGTTAAAAACGGAACCTCCCGCATTTCAACTATTGTCTCTACACCAGAGTTTCACAAACTTTTTTGTGTCGTAGACCACTTGCCATGTTTTTCCGTGTTGGGTAGACCCCCTACTTACCTGATATTGATTTCCTGTAAATTTCTAACTGTAGTGAAGTTTAGTGTTAAAAACTTAAAGTAAAAACACATGTTAATTTATACATTTATTAATTGAATTTAAATTAAAACTACTCAAAATAAAATGTTGTATCTGTTATGTAAAATATACGTAACATTAAATAAACAGGTGTCTGACAAATAAGTGCCCGCATGGGGAATAAGTGCCCGCATTGAAAAAAAAAAAGATAAGAAGGATAAAATAAAAAAAAAGTGAAAAATAATAAAAAAAAGTTTTTTACTTAAAATAGTACAATAAGCGAGTTCGTTTATTAATTATAACATAAACGTGTGTTCTACAATAATTTCACTGTTAGTTTGATTAAATACCGCAAAAAATTAACGAATTTTAGTGTGCACCTATGTTATACATGAATTTTCAGAATAATTTAAAAAAAAATATTTTATATAAAGGGGGGTTCTTCAAAAAAATCAATGCGGGCACTTATTCCCAATGCGGGCATTTATTGGTCAGACACCAAAAAACATAAAATAAACTATAAATAAAATAACATAAGCAATAAGTCAATATTTTTTGTGAGAAGGATGAACCTCATGCTTTAATAATAAATTATCAACATTTGGCGTCAATTTTGTAAGGGTTAATCTTAAATCTCCTCGGCTAATGATGTCCAGTCTGTTTCTTTTTTTCGTTAGGAGATTGGTAACAGCGCTGAACCCCCTTTCCACTAGGTATGACGATGGAAAGGAAATTAAAAATTTCCTCGCTATATTCCATAATACGGGATAAGTAACGGGCATGTTGTTTTGCAGCCAGAATTGCTGATATCCGTTTTTAAACTGAACCTTAAGTTCTTCGTTTGTACTTAGTTCAGTCAGTTTCTCTTGTATTATGACATTCGTTTCTTCTATGTCACCATTATGGATTAATTATCCACGGGGGTATTACCATAGTCAAAATATCCTCAAACCTAGATTCAAAATCTGAATAGAGGGCATGTTGAACGTAAGTTGAAACGTCGTCTTCCTGGTAGGTTGTCTGTGACAAATTGGGGAACTGAGAAAATTTGCCCCGTCCAATATTTTGCTTCATTAGTTTAACTCTGGCAAGAAACGCTGATAAGATGGTTTTAATAAAATTTAAACTGTCGCCTTGTAATTGCAAATTAACCATATTAAATTTTGTAAACAAATCTGTTAAATAGGCGATGTCTGTTTTCCTCTTCATTAAATTTTCTTTTAAAGTTTTATCTTTAGTATTCAGAAATTCTAAAATAGTCTCAAAAAGTGCAAAAAATCTTGTAGAACATAATCCTTTCGACAGCCAACCATGGCAGGTGCTCCATCTGAAGCTACTGATATTATATTTGATAAAGGAATTGCTTTTTCAATGAAGTAATCCTTCAAAACATGAAATATTGATTCATCTTTAGTGTCGGTTATCAAAGTTCTTGGGAAGAGCAGTTCTTGGTAGATTTCTTGATTCATAATAAAACGAACATATGCCATTAATAATGCTGCATTATCAGGTAAAGTTGACTCATCCAGTTGTATAGAGAAATGGGTCGTTTGCAAATAGTTACATAATAAGCTTTCAATATCAGAACTCACTTCATCAATACGTCTTTCAACAGTATTGTTGCTTAAGGGAATTCTTTTAATGATATCAGATGCAGGCTGGGGAAAAACAGTTTTTAAAACCTCTTCAACGGCTGGCAAAATTAACTTCTCTCCGATAGTATGCGGTTTTCCAGATTTTGCTATAAGTAACGAAATATTGTAAGATGCCCGCAAACCATCATTTCTTTGTGACGTCGAAGCGAACATTCTGTCCAGTGTAGGTCTCTTCTGAAATTTATCTTTGAGTATTTCAAATCTTTCTCTGTTTTATCAGGGTGGCATCTTCTCAGTTGATCTTACAGTTTAGATGGTTTCATAGCGTCATTGCCCAAAACTTTGTTGCATAAAAGGCACATAGGCGATTGTTTGTCCGGCAATGATGGAATGAAGCCAAATTTCAAGTAATCAACACTGTACTGTCTACATTTCTTTTTAGATTCGGACATGGCATCAGTCATCTGTGGGCAAAATTAAATTATTTAAATAAGTCAGAAAATCCAGCAGCTGTATATTAAAAATATTTTTTGATTTTTCCGAAAACATTCAATAATTCGAACATCTTATTGCAACAATTAGCTCGAATTACGGAGATTGCACTGTAATTATATTACCGATTGCTAAAACTTTCAAAAAGAAACTATTGAGGAGTACTCGTGTAATTTTGCATGATTGAATATTTAACTACTAATAACTAAAGTCATGATTGGCGTAATTTATCTATCTTTGCTAACTACGAGTACAAAACAAAAATTTAATTAAAAATAATGTACTTACTTTTCTCCAGTACTCTCAAACAAAATAACACTGACTCACTATAATTTGTGTGATATACTATCTGTTTATATTTTTTAAAATATTTTCTTAGCACTTTCCTTTTCAAGATGCAGGAAACGAATAAACGTATTTGTCCCACGTTCGTATTTATAGAGTGACGAATTGAACAAGTCAGTGCAAGGTAGCGAAGCTCTGAGACTGCGACTGTCAGGTTTTTACAGGTTCAAAATGTATTGCGACCACAAAGCGAATACCAACATCCTACAACTTACACAATTTTATAAACATATATAATAAATTCTTTACTTCATAGGTACTTTTATAAATAATGTATATGTTTTGATATTATAAGATAGTATGATGTAAGTAAATAGGTACTATCAGTGTTTGTATTGAGATCCACCATCGTGGACCCCCATATTCATTTCATGGACCCCAAATTTTTTTCGCTGACGTAGACCCCTTGCAGGTTGTCATAGACCCCTAGGAGTCGATATAGACCACTGTGGGAATCAATGCTCTACACGGTCCAACAGTTGACCCCAAGGTGCAAACAATACATCCCGATTAGTGCATATGTAAAACTTGAGCCCTATATACAATGACGTAATTGGACCAAAGGGCTGTAGTTAAGCCCTTCCTCCAATACTGAATGCAACAAATATTACACAAAGTCAATGCAAATCAAAATGTTGTGAGTGTGGCCTCATCCCAAACACAAATGGTACCGCCACTGGTTACTAAATACTAATTGACTTGAAGGATCAAATTGAAGTGTGTTATTTGCTATAAAATAAGAAATCAACAGCCATTTAAAGATCCGGCTAGCGATGGATTAAACTGAACACAACTACTTGTTCCTTGTAATTAATTATTATTGTTGCGCGAACATAATCCTGGAATTTCAAAATTTCTTTAAATAGCTCTTATTAGACGGCTATTAGTTATATTTTGAACACTCGATTCCGACACGCAACGTAGATCATTCTCAGTAGATGATCTTTAATCTAGTTTTTCTTTTGCCTTTTATTAAATCCAACGGCGGTTGATATACTTTTGGTTTGCAAACGAAAAACCGATTTACAGGACAAGCAAGTCCAATGAGAAGTTAAAATACTCATAGTAACTAGTAACAGGTCCAGAAAGACTATATGACCTCTTACTGTATCTACTGTCTACTTCCGAAAACAAGAGCAGGGAGACCACAATCAATTTTCAGACATTCTAAGATCTTCAATCCTTTAATCAAGATAGGAATAAACAAAATGTAATTTGGATATTTTGTTTCATGGGACCCTAGACGCATGTAACATAGTTTACCCTACATCTCAGAACAAAAAATTATTTAATCAGGTGAGTAACTGATTGTGAGACTTAGGCCCAATTTCATCATCGTTAATCAGTTTGGACCAAAAGGAAAAGACCTTATTGAAATGCAATTTGACGGAAGCTGTCAAAGCTATATGAATATCAGTGATTTCTATTGAGATATTGAATAAAATCGTAAAAATTCGACTGTATTATAAACAAGACCACTTTTTGGTTCCAACATGATGCTTTTGTACAGAGAAAACAGGACCGGACAGTATTTTCATTTCTGTTATAAATTCACATTTAACGATCAGTTATCCCCAAAGCCAATGGGAATGCGGCAAATAATAGGTCGATCTTCTAGCTGTTAAATTTAATAGCAGGTTTGGATGTTTGTTAATTTATGGCAATCTCGAATTTGTTAAGTTCAATATACTGAGTGTTTATATGTTATCATTATAGCTACATACCTGTTGAATAGTGTGGATTTGTCTGTATTTTGCAAGAAAATAGAATATAAAATAGGTACATTCCAACCAATTCCTCATCTTCCTTTACATAATAATAGTAATCATTTATTAATTTACGGGTTAAAGAATTTCATCAAACCAATAAAAACATTGTCCTCTCCATCCTGAAATACAGATAATATGTGTAAGACGTGTCAATCCCTACATCTCCGTGATGCATAATGCAATTACTATGGACATAGACAAAAAATTATGAAAAATCTCTCACAAATAATGTTTTTTAAGTCCAAGAATCATAAAAACTAATAATGTTTATTGTTTGATTGCCTTTTTTGACTGGCGGGGACATCTATCTGCCAAGTCTAACGACGATCACGATCCGTGGTGGAGGGAGCGAAATGAATCTTTTACATTTGCTGGTTTTGAATTTAAAGTTGTATAGTTGGAGCTAGACTGATAACAGTTCTTGAAGATCATTTGAAAAGTGTGAACACCATCATGGTCTGTTGTCAAATTGCAAATGAAGTATCTGACAATTCATACATACAGTGGACCTTCGTTATAGTTTACTATTCTGATTATGATCATCTTTGGCAAATGTGTTGTATCATCAAACTGATGAACAAATATAATAAAGCTCTTAAACCTACATACAGCGGATTTTTCATGAAAATTTACTAGGTATCATGATTATAACCATCTTTGGTAGATTGTTCGATCTGGAATGGGAAAGATCCCCTATGTATGGAAATATTTTTGGTATTATCTAACCGTTACAATCAGTGCACAAACACTGTGACATATGATTTATAGCATAACCCGCTGCCCTATCAACACAAATTTAACATACAGGTCGCCTAGCCGTGGGGGTGCAGTGGTCGGGATGAATATCACGGCAGCAACTGATGATTTGGGCATGTCTGGTAACAACGTATGAAGTAAAATTCGTTAACTTCACAAATTTGAAGATTTTGTACAATTTCTTTGAAAATGATGAAAGATATGTCTGATTTAGCAAGGTAACGGCAGTCGGTCTTTCTGGACGCAGGCCAAGCAGATTGAAAAGAACTTGTCACGCAGTAGCCTTCCACCACTTACGTGTCAGGATGGAATGATTGTAACTGACTCGAAGGCCAAGGCTGAAGTGCTTGCCAAGATCTTTGCTGCCAACTGCACCATGGACGCCCCCCAGCAAAGCTTCTGGTCCGGACTTGATTGTACTGAAGAGGTGTGCAGCGGAGCTTGCTCCAGTTCTTTCGCGTCTCTTCCATATATCATATGAATCCAGAAAACTTCCATCCCATGAAAGGCTTTGCAGATGGGTGGCTGACTTTCTCTTTGGCCGCAAGGTATCCGACGTGATTGACGACATCTCCTCTTCATCCCGCAAGGTCAACGCGGGTCTTCCCAAGGGATTGGCTTTGGCTCCGACATGGTTCTTCTTGCATATCAATGACCTCCTTTCCTGTACGATCAACCCAATCCACAGCTTTGCTGATGACAGCACTCTACATGCAGGAATTCAGAGTGACAAGCCGATCTCTGCAGCTGAGCTGGAAAAAAGAAGATTAGCGACGACTTGCTCTCTGACGCAACAATCTTGTATAGTGTAATGCTTCCAAAACACAGTACTGTACCGTCACGAGCAGAAAGCGTCCTGGCACTCATACAGTTCCGATGGATGGCCGGGTTCTACCAAAGAGACGTTCATTTTGGTTGGTCGTAGTCCAGATGACCGATGACTTGATATGGCACGAACACATCTTGTCAGTAGCGGCAGCTGCTGGGAAAAGCTAGGCTATTTGTTTAGGGCTAAGAAGTACTTCCGCATGACCTTTTCACTCTATACAAGGCCCAGAAAAGATCTAGCCTCCAGTATTGCTCACACGTTTGGGGTGCCGCCGCACCGACTATATTATCTATGCGCGATGTTGTCCAGAGAAGGGCTGTCCGACTGATCGATGACTCTTCTCTAACAAACAGTTTCGGGACTCTTTCACACCGGCGGCCGTCGGCGATCAAGTTCTCTTCTACCGCTACACCAACGGGCTTTGCTCCTCAGAGTTCTCTTCCATGATGCCGCCGCGCGATGTGCCTGCCATAAAGACCCGGCTGCTTCGGTACAAAAAAATGACTACAGTAAAACCTTCCTACTTCCATTGTATGTTGGCTGGGGAGATAGCGCAGCATAATCACTAGTTGCGTTCGGCACTTCAAAAGGCTTTATTACGTGTAAAAAAGGCGAAATTTAATGGAGTTACCAATGTAGCAAAAAATGTTGCTGGAAATCGCCAGCGGACAAGTGGAGAAAAAAAGTCGCTAAAGCATTCAAAAATCGCTAAGTCTGGCAACAGTGCTGTTTTGCTCAGATGACACATCACTCAGTCGCGACTAGGATAGTGATGGGACGTTTTATTCATACTGATCGGTGCACGAAAATAACTGAATGTGTCGAAATCAGGTTTTAAGTGTTGTATGAAAATGTTTTATTGATATCGATGAATTTCTAGAAGATCCAAAGGTCTGAAGAATCTTTGAAAGATTTGAAAATCTCCAGAAAATATATAAACATAGCCAACAGTCGGACGAGTCAAAAATCTTCCGGAAGCAAGTATCGAGAACAACAGGCTCCAGGGGCGCGGGGGAAAGTGGCCAAAATAGAAGCTACTGAAATCAGCCTTGTGTGGTCTAAGCTGTTAAATATTACCAAGCTATTCAAACGCGTTTTCTTTAACTGAAGTCAGCGTTGGACTGGTGCATATTCCAAATTCTGATAACAGAACCAATTTATACAGGGTGACTTCGAAGTTGAGTCATTTATTTTAACAGTGAGTAGATCTGATCAAAAGAAATGTTTTTTTCCTTTACCATTTTTCTGGTAAAATTAAAGTAACAAAGTTATAGCCCTTTGGAAGTTTGAGTACCGCCCTGTCTCAATGTGCTCGTGTTTGGCGACAACGGATATAATCCGTCGTATCGGTTCATCGCATCGGAAACAAAAAAGCGAAAGAATTTGGAACGAATTATTTCATTCATTTGTATACAGTAAGTGTCAGTGAATAGTTGTATCTGTTGCGTGGCTCAAACGAAATAAAAAATGGCACATGTTTATGCGGATCGGTTTCCCAATCGAGTGCAACCAACCCCTCGTGCCTTTGTTAATGTAGTGTAGTGAATCAGGTGATTTAAGACCTCACAGGGGACCTCACGATCAAATACAGGTCCGCACTGAAATACTTGTCGGGAGGATACTTTATAAAACAAGGTAAACATTTTTTTTTAATTTTTTTTTTATTTTTACACACATATTTTGGTTTATATTCCTTCTACAATCATTATCTGAAAATTAATGACTCAACTTCAAAGTCACCCTGTATGTTCATGTTTTTTTGGTTCGCATTTTGAACTGGTTTTTCACTCATTGTATAAACATACACAAATTGAAGCAACTCGGTCTGGTGTTGTCTACTGTCTGCCTCAATTTCCATCTTTGAATGCAGCCGTGCTGTTTGCTCGTGGTTTACTATTATTTTTTTTTTCGATGATTCATCATAGTAACACGGAAAAGGACAAAGAAACGAAAAATATGCTTCATTGACAGATTACTGCACGCGACACGACATGAGAGTTGTTTAATGTTGTTTTGGGAGCAAATTTAGGATCAAAGGTAATAACTAAGGTAGAGTATTTTAATCACAAAAACTGCGCTAGTTTTATCAGAAGAAAACACTAATCTCTGATCCACAGAATCAAAGCGAATCTCAGGCTTTCGAATCTCCCTTTACTAGTGTGATGAAATGACAGTTTGTCCCTTCTTGGATTACTTGAAATAGTAATGTGCTTTCGAATCTCCCTTTACTAGTGTGATGAAATGACAGTTTGTCCCTTCTTGGATTACTTGAAATAGTAATGTGCTTTCTAGTTCTTTTCATTAAGTTGCGTTCAGTTCGTGAACAAACTACTTTATGCAACAATACCACAAAAAATGTATATACAGAAACAGGGCAGATACACCAGTCTTTTAGTCGAGATAACGTAAAAACGATTCAATTCATATTTTTTAGCCATTCCAATACATTCAACTGATCGCAAATGTATTCTCCCATCACTAACATTAAGAGATACTAATTTCAAATGTCAATTCCAATCTTCTTTGGTCCATTCTCCTTCTTCAACGTCACTGTATTCTATGTTTTGTGTCATTTGATTTGTTATTTGTGTAAAATGATTTTTTTTAACAACAAATTTCTGTATAAAAGGTGTATACATTAAATCTGCAATAACCCCCAAATACGTGGTTATGTTGAGTGTACCATATACCATCACCGATGGTTATACTAATTATACACTGAAATTAAAACAAAAAACTGCAATTGTATGTATGAATGTTGAACAGTTTCGGACCAGTGGTGTTAAAATATCTTTGAGGAACTGGAAAGAGTGTATGAATGTGTTGAAACGCAAATTTGAGTGTGAGTTTTGAATACTTTGATGCTATTTGCTGCCAAAAATTTGACGGAGAGATCTTAAGGCTGATTGGGTATATTTAACGGACTGTTTGGTACTCGTACCCTATTGGTGCAGAATAATGGATTGTTAAATTGTGAAATCGGCCCTTAGTGGGCTCACGAACATGAGAAATAGATGTTCTCTACTTACACATTGACTGTACTAAAGACTACAAAACTACATATTCAACATCAGAAATTCAACAAATATCAGCCTTAATTATTCAGTCCGTAGCTGGATTATGTTATTAATTGAATACCGTATCCAGACACTTTGGCACTGTATTATACAGATTTGGCAAATGAAAAGTGCAAGCGCATTTTGGTATGTTTTACGTTCTTACAAAATACTTTTAAGAGGTATGATCACCACATGTTGCAGCTATCTAATGAACTGTAACTGTCATTGAATAAGAACTATACTAGAGTATTATACAGGGATTCTCGGCCGCCATGTTGTTTCCATCCAAATTGGCAATTGTTTATTTTTACAAACAGAGGTATTTGCAGGTCAAAGTTATAAGCAATAGGGAAAAGTGGGGTACAGTGAGTCATACATAGGACAGGAGCGAAGTCCACAGTGGGGCTAAGTGAATCGATCATCACCAGAAGGGTTTATCTCTGATCATCACGCGTGGGTGGACAAAAAAGGAAACATCATTGGACAGAAAGTCGAACATAGGCCTTGACTGCATGTTGAATTCTGTGTCATGTGGGGTCAACTGAAGCCTGCCAAAGGCGCTAATAATGTTCGGCGGTCTGGGTCCATTAAATGATTCGGTCCCCTTAGATTCGTTTCATTGTCAGACTGTTCAAATAGATTCATTTGATTCCGATCGACTCCCGTGCCACTCGACGACTCGGCTGACAGGCAGAGTGCGGGCCCATTTGAATCGATACGCATTCTTGACAGATATATAGTACATATTGATGATTTTAACCTCACAACTTTACAATGCAGTATTAGCATCTATCGGTTTACGGAATCTCGATTTTTTGTTGGTACCCCTTTTCTGACGAGAAAAAGGTTGTTAGCATCATTATAATGGCAGCAGCGGTGGCCGCAGTAGTAGACTCTTCGGTCTCCTGATCAGTCGCCGTGCGCTGTGCGGGTTCGAGTCCCGTCCCAGGAGAAATTTTCCTCTTGGCTATGGATGTTGTGATTGTCCGTAGGTGGTAGATGGTCTCTGACTGTCGAACGCGGAGGTTACCACCCGGCGGTTCTCGTAGGCGGAGCCAGAATGTGTGATGTTGCATGCACACGTGTTCCCTCGCCAGAGTCTGTGTGGCGTCCCCCCCACCTTTCCCATGTATCCCCCTATACCCCACGGTACCCAATGGGTGCTTAGGCCTTAGGCCTTCGTGGTAGTTGGAGTATAAAAAAAATAATGTTTCATAACACCAATGATTGATAAGTAACTAAAATTACTTCACTAATCAGATAAATAAATAAACGAATAAGTGAATAAATAGCATAAAATATATCCAATGACAAAAAAATAAAACGTCTAGTAAAATGATTTTATTTGAATGCAATTTTGGTTACAGTTAAAGAATTAATTCTTAAAGTGAAAATCGTTGAGGCATATTTTAATAAGGTGATTTATGTCTTCTTGAGGTCCCTCATCCCAAAAGCTGGCTGTTCTTGATTCCTAAGGGGTGGTAACGTGACTGGAGGATGAGGCACAAAAAATCACTCTTCTTCCCATCATATCCCAGGAATGTTCAATTGGCGAATGGCCTGGATATCTGGGAGGCCAAGGAAGGAGGTTGATTTGATTGCTCTTGAGGTTTCCCTTGATAGATTCAGCAATATGGGGATGGCCATTGCCTTGTTGGAAAATAGGGTTCTCAAGCGTTTGGTGAAATGTTAAAAAATGAGGTTCTAGTATTTCCTGATTATACCATTCAGTCGTCATACCTACTCCAATAGAAACTAGATGTGACACCATATGTTGTGGCACCTTAAACCATGACTCTTATAGTTTGGTGCAAGTGACGTTCAGCTTGAAGCTTTCTCCTGGATGGCTCCTGACTTGGGCCCGTCAATCATGCATCTCTAAAAGTGATGATCTTGGTTCTGTTTAGGAATGTACAATGTACGGGTTCGAGTCATTCGACGCGGAGTAAGACGTAATGCAAGTTTTCGGTTGAGTGTTACGTGCCCCATTGTAGAAGTTATGATTTAGTTAGAGCGTCATTAAAAATGATCCTAGATCACTTCCAATTTTTTCCAGTTAAATGATGTATGATGGAGCAAACTTATATTACAGGAAATTCTCGAACCCAATGTTTTATTTCCCCAAATGCTTGAAAACACTATTTTATGATAAAATGACACCAAACTGAACTGACCGTTTTACCGTATCCTCCACAAACGATAACAGCTTTTTGGAAATAAGCTAGCTTGTGATGAGATACCTCAGGAACACATAAGTCATCTCATCAGCAGTATGCCTCGATGAGTTGACGAATGTATACGGCATTGCGCTTGCAGAGCACATTGTTAGGAAGATCCAGCGATAAGGCAGATATTTACACGCCAAAATTTAATCACTACTTTCTATTGTTCGTGTCTAATTGTACACAAAATTGTATTCAACTAAAATCACTTTTACTGAGTGTTATATTTTCTTTGACACTGAGAGTATATCATACTACAGAAATTGTGAAAAAGGACAAATCAAGCAATATTTCTTAGATATGCTTACATGCGTTCACTGACCATCATCTGGTTCCGTTGGCGATGCGAAAAAAGTGAAGATGAGGTCCGATCCAGCCCAAGCGACGGCTGCCTTCACATCTTTACCCGCAGACTTGATCATAATCTTCGAAACCAATTACCAGGCAGATTAGGCTTCTATCGATTCGGAGGAATGGATGCATGAAATCCAAACTGATGCCCAGCAAAAGATGGAGGAATAACGCTGTTGCTGGTCTGGTGAGAAATTTCTGAAAGTAAAACCATGCTTTCCAGTGATTTGTTATTCAAACCTTCTTGTGGACTATCTCACTTCTTTCTCACAACACACAATGGATTCCTGTAACTTTCGAACGACGTCTGTGTTCCTAGAAAGTGACTTCAAAACAAGGGCGAAAGCAGACTTTAAGTTATTGAGGGGTCACTTACAGTGGCAACTTTGTGAATTGAAGAGCGGGGGTTCCTCGACGATTGACACTCGAATAGTGAGGCAGGGGAGTCATCCGGCGACTGAAATTTAAAAAATTGGCGAAGGGGGGAAGGGGGAAGGGGCCACTGATGTATCAGTGCTCCTTAAAGTGAATGCCTTGCAACAATTAAAAGGTGGGAGGGGGGGAGTACGTACCAAAAACAAATCAGTGATTAACATCGATTCAACCGGGGGGTTCATGATTTCCTCAATTTTCTCCTGGATCCACCCCTGCTTCAAAATGTGAACGCTTGTAGTGATCCGGAAGGACAAAATGGAGGCACAGTGAGGTACTCAAGTCATCTGGGTGGCCAAAATTTTATAGTGGATGAAATTTGATGATTTTTGATTACTGATGCTAACGATGCAGATACTTGTTTTTAAAATAAAAAATGAGGTACTGGATGCACATGTTCCGCTGTACAGAAACTTTAAGCACAAGTATCCCTCTTGGTATACAAGCGAAATTATTAAAATTGTAAAACGAAAAGATAAAGCTCATGGAAAGTTCAAGCAAACTAGATTTCTTGCCCATTATCAAGAGTTTAGTAGGCTTCAAGGAGTGTTTAAGCAAAAAACTAGAGGGGCGTATGATACATATTTTCGATCAATGCAAGATCATTTGGAGGACGAACCTAATTCTGGTCTTTTATCCATAGTAAAAACAGCACAACTAGAATACCTAACAATATGATCTACAATGATGAGGTTATTTGTTTTTGGAAACGAGTGAAACTGTCTTCTAAATATTTACTACAAATAAATTTAACAAGTGAATTTAATTTTATACACGAATTTTATTTTCAAGATTAATCAGAAAATAAATTATCTTCATCAGATACCAATAGAAGATTATTCATAGTTGGTATCGTCACAATACTTATATAGACAATATTTGATGCTGTGTGAGGGTCGCCGGGAAGCAACATTTCTAAGGTTTCCTTGGTTTGGTTGCTTTCCGAGCTCGAGGCTTCATGCCATGTATAAGGCAAACGCTTGTAAACAGTGTAACCCAAAAACATCTAGATATACGAGTACTATCCCAAAATGATTTTTATCTTCCTGTAACTATTTAAGATGAGATTTTAAAATAGAAGGTACAAGGTGTCATAATAAGAATTTTACTCAAACAGGAATACTCTCTGCGGAATTCAATTTTATAATAGGATTCAAGTTATCTTGTGGCAAATAAAATTAACCGAAATTCCATAGACGGTTCTGTCAATAAACACCATTACTACTCGTCCTCCACCATGGGCTACACGCCAACCAGAAATCATCACGGAACTCACCATATACAACAAACAGGAAACACCAGCCTCTCTGTTCGTACAAAATTACTAAGAAGCGATAAACCACTACCCTAGCTATGGTATAGTGTACACAGATGCATCTAAGACAGATTTGAAGATCGGAGCAGCTGAAGTGACAGCTACTGACACTTTAACAATTGAATTACCCAATGCAGCAACAACATTGACAGGAGAACTACATGCCATCTGTAAAGCTCTTCAATACATCAGAAATAATCGTATAAACACGAAATAGCTAATTGTTAGTTGTTACTTGGTTCGCCTTCGCTCATTCGACAGATATATACCAAAAATCCAAAAGCCGCCAAAATTAGAGAACTCCTGCACAGCTTGACGACACAAAATCACAATATCTATCATACTCTTATTGGGACCTTCATATGTCGGCGTTAAGGGCAACGGAGCAGCAGATAGAAGTGCAAAATCACTACAGCCGATCTCCCACTTCCAGTTCAGCTGCTCATTTGTCTCTAAAACCCCCTGAAAAGTATCATTCATTGCTCGCAGTTGAAGTTTATATGAAGGCGATCGAAACAAAAAGGCGTTAAAAATAGGCGCTTTTCTGCCCACTCTGGAGAGGAAGGCGGCCCAGTGGAGCCTACTGTTTATGATAAGAAGCAGTCGAGAATGTTTACTCCAAGTCTGAAAAGTGCTGGAAAGTATATTAACCACCCCTATCGAATACTAAAGCCGATTCTTCATAGAAATTCTGAATGAATATATAAAATATTGGATACTACACCAAATAGGGAGTAGAAAGTATGTGAAAAATATGATTTCACCTTTGCCCCCTTTAGGAGCGAACCCACCAAGCTTAAACGATTGTATATAATGAAAAGTAGTCAAAAATATTTATTGAAGCTTGGAAAGTACTATAAAAATCAGTGCTCCTTTACTATACTAATCACCCTCTATTGGATAATAAGCATTTCTGCACGGAAATGTGGATAAGATAAATAAGGAATTTGAGGCACTTTTAGAAGCTGCTATGCTACTACTTTTATGCTATTTTTGCTATATGTAACAAAAACATATTTTTTTATGGATTTACAAGGTACAACTTTATCTCATGAAACAGAGCTATAACCCTAAATTATACTCATGGCAGTATTCAATTAGGGTGCGATACCCTTAGCTATTTTCTATGTCCTTTTCTTTCTGATCAATAGTCCGGTAGTCAACACTTTAGTCTGATAAATGTTTACTTACCAATTATACGCGACTGAGAAGGAGCGTCAAGACTTCAAAGATCACGCGCACGCAAAAAACAAAACAAATTGAGCCGCGTGGCGTCTCAACGAATTTCAAACTGTCCACTGAGCGCTAATATTTTCGCGTAGTTCTCTTTTTTAATAAGACAGGAGAAATGATCTAAAAATATATAGTATTTCATGTGTACTGGTTTGAACTAGTGTTGCCAGCCAGACAGAAAGTGTGCGGTCTAGTACTTTCAAGAAATTAATTTGACAATGTTCCAATAATCATATAAGAGCGACAATTGTAATGGCGAAACATAGGCGCACATTTGATGTAGATCAAACCATTGCTTTTGGTCCATCACTATAATGAAAAAATGAGTCGAGTGGACTCACTTAGTACTTTACCGCAGATTTACTCTTCTTATACCGAAAAACGGTATCAGGGGATGTTTTTCAGAATATTTAGTTTGATGGAATACCAGTGATTCGACTCCAAAAGGTATAATATGAGTACATTTTATTCTAAGAACGGTATATGGCAAAACCCTTCGCAGTTCGCAGGTAAAACGCAAAAATAGTTAGCACAAAACATATGTAATTTGACCATCGGTCAGTTGTAAAGAACATTCATATAGTGATAGTTCATGTTGTGCTAATCAAATGTTCCAATAGGCGCAAGGCCCAAAAGTGCTTTCTATTGGAGTTTGATGCCTTAGCCCCTGTGAGTTCGCCTGCCTGCACCGTTTAATATTAAAGTTGTATAGGATATTCAGAAACGGTTTGTGCAACAAGACTGAGACCTTTTAGGTTTGTGTCTCTAAATTCCGTCTCAAAAGAAACATGTTTTTTTAATGGAAAACCCTATATTATATTCTATATTTGGAAAAACTCTTCGAAAACAAGAAGATTATTTTAATATCCTGAATGATTTTGCTCATTTGTTCAGTTATTTTATCATTTGTCTGGAAAGCCTATGCATGAAGGATTTGGCTTCTGCCATTCTGCGTCGTTTGTCACTTAATTTTAGAAAGAGGATATAAAGGTACGCCAACTCTATCAGAGTGTTGCAAAATGCAAAACGTTGTTTGTAAAAAAAGTTTAATTGAAACATCCCGTATATTTTTACACCATCAGATTCGCGTTTTTATATGTTGCTTCTGATATCAGGTTTGATACTGCTTCATTATAACGGTTATCTTATTATACATACAAAAGCATCAGATGTTCCATTAAAAAAGAACACGTTTGCTGTGCTACCAAATGGTGCAACACTCTGTATATCTCCAAATAAGTTAGAAATACACACTTATAAGAACTTGCTGCGGAAATCGTTTTAGAATATCTTGTTTAGTTTTTCTATTGAACTAGTTTCCATTTTCGACACAGTGTATGTGTTCACGTCATTTTTATTATACCGTTAAGTCTAGAATAAGTCAAGTTTATTTTCGTAAAATGGTGCAGGCAGGTAAATCGATAGGTGCCAAGGCACCAAACTGTATCAACCTGTATCTCCAACAGAAAATATTCGGAAGTAATCACACAAGTGCATCAAAATCATCCAATAATTTTTCATGAAAGCGAGTTGTCTACAACTGCAAGAGTTTATTTTCATATTCTGACGAAAGAGCCCGACTACTCTGCCTGACATTTACTACACGAAATGTTGTCCCGTTCTACCGTATGCGGAATAAAATTAAAATATATCCTTCATCGGGCCATACACATGATTTAAATGTGATCTCTCAAATTAAATTAATCTTAATTAAACCAATAAAATATGATACTGCAAGATTTTTTTGGAACACCTACACGTCAAAATGGGAAACGCATCGGACACGTCAAAAATCGAGAGTTTTATTCTTATTTATTTATCGTATGCCGAGAACTTTATCGATACATGACCAGTATACAAAAAATATGTTTGTGCTGCCGTAGTACTTACCTGATTCCATTTCAGTTGAATTCCTGCTATAAGTTGAACCGACTTTTATTTATGACCAGTGTGGAAGATAGTTGTATTCAAAAGCTATGACATTTAATATAAAGTCTTTGATGCAACATCTTTTTTGTATACAACATGTCTTAGAAGTGCTGTCGAATGAAGTTGAATTTAATTAAACTAATGAACGTTATAGACGCTTTTGTCTGATTACAAATGGTTTATTAAACTAATTTTCATTAATTAGATCAAAAAATAAATTTTCAGTGCCAATTAATTATGTGTATCTAGCCTTTATACCAGATTGCATAGGCCGCTAGATGTACACTGGTTTGAATGAATAAATTATACACAAAATATAAGTTTTCAAATAAGCTGTTGAAAATAAGTGATTATAAGAAGCAGCTCTTATAATTTACGCTAAAAATATACAAGGTCTATTTTAACAATACAACCTCGAAAAAAGACATTGCGCATTGCGCGAAACACATTATATTAGATTCTATAATTTTTGTATAACACTTATAACAAAAAAGTAATTGAAAAGATTTTACAAAACGACGGAAAGTGATCGATATGCCCATAGTGACAAAGTCAAAATGGCGATTTTCAATTCATTTTCTTCTTCTGTTCTGGGTAGGGTTCAATCACCTCGAAGAATTCTATTCTTCCGAGTTTGAACAGTTCGCAGGCAGTTACAGCCACTACTGTAGCGACTCTAGTCTCGTTGCAAACTAAGGCTATCTCTCCAAAGTGGGCGCCATCTTGTAAGTGGCAAATCTGAAACAATTTTTTGTTAAGTTATTTAGTGAGCAAGTCTTATAAAGCCCAAGGAAACATTATTACAATTTTGTCAGAAAACGCAAAAAAGTAGCACACCGAATTAGTTCTACTGTTGAAACATACATTGTTTCGAAGACTAACTAACCTTGGTATGAACAAACATTAAACAAACAACAAGCTAGAGGTGTAGTAGAAAACATTTGGAAATATCTGAATTAGAGTTCAACATTTTAATAGCGGCATAGCAGACATACATCGAAATTAAGGCATTTCTAAGGTTTAACTTCTTCATGTATTTTTGATGCCATTAGTAATGTTGGTTGAACATAATCGAATTAAGAAACGCGCTAAATGAGTGATCGGTAACACAGACCAGCGACGGTTCCCCTCTTCAAAAACTAATTAGTAATTTGGGTGGGTATTAGGAACCATGCCAAAAAAATAATAAAAAATAGAGTCAAGTAGGTTGACTCTGCGCTTCCTACGCAACGTCGTCATCCCCACCGTCATCAGTTGATAAAGGACTAAGTTCAGCACGAGTTAAACCTTCTGAGATAAAAAAATAGTTACGAATATGCACAACAGAAAAATTAAGCAGATCAAGTCAATCAAACAGGCCCATACAATTAGTCTACAGGCATACTTTCCTGTCCTACTGGTAGGGAACGTCCATCTGGCCACGTTGCCCCTTCCATATCGTCAGACGTGGTAGCGCCCACTGAAGCACAATCGCAATATGAGCAGAATAATTTACGCGGGCGCTGAGCCCAGATACCAGGAGACGCATATCGAAAACATTTCTCTATCATCCTTCAGTACTCTCGCAATGGGACGGAAGAACTGTAATCTGCACCATACACTAGAAGCACCTACTACTAGATTACCCCCGGTATATGCACAAATGCAAGTCCCCTCGTATACTGGATAGCCGTGCGATAGCATTGTGTCTGAAACAATCTAAAGAAGAACGTACAAATAAACTTGTTTAGTAAGAATGTCTTAAGAGGTGATACAAGTTTTAAAGATAGATATAAGGGGAAACCTATGATGAGTGATTCTTTTTACAGGCGATTCCGATAAACTATTGTCCAAACTATTACGCATGATGGAGGAAGTAGAGGAACCTTTCTCATGATTGGAATCTGATGGTGGAGCTCAGCCTGTTGAGACGTGTGTACAACATGCGAGTTAGATGAGTGCGCAGGCGGCTCTGTTCCATTGGTGGTGATGTTGGGAAGCTTCCTGGAATTACTGGGCGGGAAGAGGGGTGACGATGAGCAAAAACACATGACAGACGTTGGCTTGACTCTGCTAAGGCGCAACTACCCGATGACCTCAAATATTCGTTTTGGGGATTCTTCATCTCCAACCGCATTACCTCGGAATGATCCAGGTCGGCCGACCAACAAGTTTCAGTCCACTACCATCAAAAGCCTACAAAATCAGCTTTTGTGGAATCAAAATTCCAATCATATCTTGGTACAAGACTGCACTTCAAGAAAGACCATTCTATTGAATACAACAGGGAGTTGAAAGAAAGTGCGCTACATTCAGAAGCAGAAGTATCCATCAGGCTTGCCAACATTGAAGTCAGATTGCTTTAGGACCAGAAGTATTTCTTGCAAGATTTGGTGGCGGCCACATGGCTGACCAAACATCTTATCAGTCTACATAGGAACAAGCCTATCTACAAGAAGTAAGTCGCCTAAGCCAAACGAGAGACTCGCAACTCATATGTTGTAGGTACACAGTTACACACATCTTACAAGCTGGGCTCCACAGCAACCACCATCAGATGCCAATCATAAGAAAGGTTCATCTACTTCCACCATCATGCGCAATAGTTTAGGCAATCGCTTATCAGAATCACCTGTTGTAACCAGAATCACTCCATCGCCATTTCACAGTCCGTCATCATCTGACGCAAACTCAAGACCCCTTTGGAGCTTACTGCAGGAATTTCACGCACCTACTTGCCATATTACACACATCATACGTTTTCCCGTACACTTGTCTTTAAATTAGAATGATAGAGAAATGTTTTCGATACGCATCTCGTTATGATACCTGGTCTTAGTGCCCGGCGTAAAATGTTGTGCTCGTACTTCTACGGTGCTTCGGTGGACGCTGCCACGTCTGACACGAGAGCATTGTTTGTCCTGAAGAGTTAATGCTAAAAGATTATAAAAATGTAGAAGATATGCTCAGTAAGTTGCGTGGACCGGTTTGCAATATGTGTATAGGGTTATACTTTATGCATTCTCATATTGCCCTTTTCCTGGAAATGTGGGTGCCGTAAGTGAAAAATAAGGTCATGGGGAAAAGATACCAAGGAAGATGATAAACAGACATGAGAGCAGATTGTACTGCTGGGTGTTAAAGAAATGTGAACCGGAGAGAAAACGTACGACAAAC